ATCAACATTCTGGATTGTAGCAAAGTTATAAACCGCAAATTTCTGATCAGATCTGAGTTTTGCCAATGCTGACACTCTAGATCTGGATTCTAGTGCAACTGAATTCTAATCATGATTAACCAGATCTGAACTGCTCTGGCAACGAACTTGCCAAATTCGGCAATTTCAGTGACTCTTGACTGCACAACTCTCCAAAACAAGCACAAAGCAAAACTGCGTAGATCAAATGCCAATTTCTCCAGTCACAATTTCACCGACCTTAATTCTGCCTTCAACGATCAGGCTTCGTCCTCAAGCGCTATACCACTAGATCAAATCAATCTGAGTGAATCATCAATCAATCCTCTTCATTTCCCACAAATGGCGCCATTGAAGATGCATGAATTTTCACTCTCTAAATTGACAGAATTTCATTACACTTTAAAAAAATTTCCTCCCTTATTCCTCCTTTCTCCTTTCTATTTATAGACCATTTGCATTATTCCAGGGCCTTCTTAACTAACTTCCGCTACTGGGCCTATCCTCAAGGTTTAGTGGTTATGGGCCTGAATCCTATTTGAAGGCCTTTTTTAATCAGTCCAATACACCCGGTCTGCTTTGTGAACGTCAAGATCGGGCCCTTATCAATTATCAAGCCCATACTTTGTTATGTGAGTTGGATATGGCCCAAGCCATCTTTGGCATCCTCAGTTTTATTTTGTGTACTAAACTTTTTAACTGAAATCTTATGAAAACTTTTCATCATCCATAGATATAGTATATGTACTTGCTTATATATATATATATTTTTTAAAAAATAAAAAAAATTAAGCGAATTGAATAGATAGAGAAAAAGATACAAGAAAGTCTTTGGCCCAAACAGCCCACTAGAGGAAAAATACAAGCCCGAAGGCAAACCCAATCCAAAGCCCAGAGCTAAGGCCAACCTAAAGCAAAGAGAACTTCATGTAGCAGAAAGCCAATACAAGAAATCTCAAACACAGATCCGGTGAGCAAACCCTACTATAATAGGGAGATACACTCCATGAAAATCAGTCTAGTGGCCTCGGAGGGGGCCTGCAAAAAGAAGGAGAAAGATTCCAATTGCTCAGAATCGATCTAGAAGCCTCACAATCCTTAAGACAACCCAGACGGAGGATTGAGACTATAGAATTACAGACTTTAGCTAGAACCCTGCTCTGCGAAGTTGGATTCCTTCTGAATATGCGGTTGTTCCTCTCTTCCCATGTGTGGTAAACCAATGCTGAAAGACATACTTTCCTTAGAGTGTTGATTGGTGAGTTTGATCTCCATCGAATACTAATCCATAGAATCAAATCTTCCCATCTCTGAAAAGCTTTGTAGAACCTTCATCTATCTTGGACGAATTTCCAAAGAGGGGAAGAGAAGTTACAGTTGAAGAATAGATGAGAATGTGACTCCATATCAGAATTGCAAAGGGTATAAATGTTTTCATGGTTAGCCATGGCTCTGCAATCAAGAGTTGGGAGTCTGCCTTGAACAACCAGCCACATGATAAATTTCATTCTCGGGATGGAAGGAGATTGCCATACAAGGTTGTGCCAATGAACTGCAAGACCATGATGAGATAGGTGGAAAATAGTGTACTTTAAGCTGAATGAACCAGAAGGAGACACCAACCAAATCAATTTGTCCTTCCTGAAAGGAACAGGTTGTTGTAGGGAGAGGAGCTCAGGGATAGCTAAGGATAAATGGGGTGGAAAGCTCCAAGAGTTGTTGACAATAAAGTGAGAAACTTTTATGTGTTCATGGATACCCGATGAGGAGAGGATAGAAGGAGAAAATTGGAGGCATAGAGGCCCTCCAGAGGACCAATTATCCAACCAAAATGAGGTATCATTCCCATCCCCAATAAGATGTTTGATAAAATGCCTTGCCTGGTGTCTAAGTTGCAGAATTTTCCTCCAACTCCAAGAGCAGGAGTGTGGAATTTTCAATGACCAGAGATTCTTACCTTTGATTAGGTGAATTCGACACCAATTCAACCAGATTCTATCTGTATTATCAGTGTTAAGATCCCAAATATATCTAAGGATAGCTGTACGGTTAGAAATTTCTAGGTTTGGCAGACCCAGACCCCCTTCAGCCTTAGGCTTACACACTGCTTCCCAATTAACCTTTCCTCCATTGGATTTCATCTCTGGGCCATACCATAAGAAGGATCTGAAAATCCTATTGAGTTCATTGATAATACTCTTTGGAAGAATGAAGATGCTGGACCAATAGAGCTGTGTAGATACAAGGACGGATCTAACAAGCTATAATCTACCTGCATAAGAGAGTGATCTTGCAGTCCAATGAGAGATTCTGTGAGTGATCTTCTCTATGAGTTCTCTACAATCATTAGCTTTAAGATTAGTTGTTATTAATGGAACTCCCAAGTGCCTGATAGGAAGAGAACCCTTGTGAATACCAAACAAATTGGTGATGGCATCTTCAGTGTGTGGAGGGACACCAGAGAGGAAGATAAAACTTTTTGACAGATTAATTGTGAGACCAAACATTGAACAAAAGTAGTCCAAGGCAGATTTGATAATTGAGATCGATTCAATATTGCTATAGCAAAGCAATAGGAGGTCATCTACAAAAGAGAGGTGAGGAATACCTTGATCTTTGCACTTCCAGTGATGCTTGAAAGCTGGGGCCCTTGTAATATAATTGTTGAGGATAGCTGTGAAAGCATCATTGACAATTACAAAAAGGAAGGGTGACAAAGGGTCACCTTGCCTCAGCCCTCTCTTACCCTTAAAGAACCCTTGGAATTCTCCATTCAAGGCAATTGTAAATGATGGAGAAGAGATACATGCCATGATGAGATCAATAAATTTCTGTGGGAATTTGAGGAGGGTAAGACAGTTGGCAATGAAGTCCCAATTAACTGAATCAAAAGCCTTCTTGAGATCAATTTTAATAGCACATCTAGGAGGACCAATATCCTTGTGGTAGCCCCTAAGCAACTCATGAGCTAAGAAGATTGAATCTGTAATTTTCCTGCCTTGGACAAAAGCTGTTTGTGTGGAATCAATAATGAGTGGTAAAGTGAGTTGAAGCTTGTTTGCAAGAAGCTTTGCAATACATTTATAGATGGTATTACAACAAGAGATTGGCCTATAGTCATTGAGAGATGATGGATTTGGACACTTAGGGACAAGGGAAAGGTAGGTGCAATTAATCTCATATAGAAGTTTACCATTTCTAAAGAATTCAGAGATGGCCTTGATGATGGATCTCCCCACAATATGCCAAGATTTATGGAAGAAAAGGGCATTGTAGCCATCCAGACCAAGGGCTTTGTCCTTGTTGAGGGCTAGAAAACAATTCTGAATGTCCTGATAAGATGGAGGGGCAACAATGAGGTTATAAAGATGGGATGGGACTGATTCGGTGATAAAAGGTAAGAGGTTACAAACATCACGGGGTGAGGGGGAGGAACACCCAAACAAATTTTGAAAATAAGAAATTGCTTCCAACTTAATGGCCTCTGGATCAACAACCTGTTGGCCAGCAGCATTGATAAGGCTGACTATCTTGTTCCTATTGTTCCTTGAGATCACTGATTTATGAAAATAAGAAGAGTTACAGTCTCCAAGTCTCAGCCAAATCATTCTAGATTTCTGTCTAAGAATGTCTTCTTGAGTGTTTCCAAGCTTTAGGTATTCTGAAATGAGTGCCTTCTCCATCAATCTAAGGGTAGTATCATTAGGAGCCTTGTCAAGATCACATTGACAAGAGTCCAACTCATTCTTGACAGCATTGAGTTTGGAGTCAATGTCAGAAAAATCTCTCCTGCAGTTTGCCTTAAGAGTGTGTTTGAGCTTTTTGAGTTTCTGAACAACTTGGAACATGGAGGTCCCTCTAATATAAGTGTTCCAAACTTGACTAACCGATGGGAGGAAGAGAGGGTGGTTGCTCCAGGCATTAAAAAACCTGAATGGGATGCATTTCTTATGGAGGTTGAGGTCCATAGTGAGGAGGATAGGGTTGTGGTTTGAGATTCCTGGGGTGAGGAATTTACATTCTGAGTTTGGAAATGATGAATTCCATTTGTAGTTCACAAGAGCTCTGTCCAATTTCTTAGCAATACAAGTATACCCAAAGCTTTGGTTACACCAAGTATACAAGATACCAGTGAATTTCAAATCCTCAAGCTCTGTCTGTTACAAACAATCACTGAGATCTGACATAGAGAGGGCCTCCATCTAGCAGAACCTCCAAACCTGTCATTGGTGCATGTGATAGCATTGAAATCTCCCATGATAATCCATGGCATGTGGGAGAAAAATGCTGACTGGTTGATGATATCACTCCAAAGGTATGATCTTTCATTAACCATGTTTGAAGCATAAACAAATGAGCAAAAGAAAGAAGTGTTTTCACCCAAAATGGAAATGGAGCAGTGGATAACTTGCTTGTTTGTGTGAATAATGTTAAGGCCAATTATAGAGGGGTTCCACAAAATCCAGATTCTCCCCAAAGGAGAAAAGGAATAATTGTGATCAATGGACCAATTTGGAGCTATATGATGATGAATAGCTGTCACATTATCAAGAGACACCTTTGTCTCAATTAAATAGATTAAATCCAGTTTTTTCCCAGAGATAAGCTTCTTTACCTCTAGTTGTTTAGAGGACTGGTTTAGTCCCCTTACATTCCAGGTGATAAAAGAGATCATTTAAATAGTGGAGCAAGAGAACCTCTAGGATACTTGCTGCCCTTTGTGGGGTCTGAAGATATCAACTCTGGCCTGTAACCTTTGCTTCCTCTAGCAGCTTTATTCAAGCTTCTAGCAGTCATCTTGTTCAATAGTTTAAGTGAAGGGGATGCCAATGTTGCAAGGTCTATGAGGGTAGAACAATGGTTGGGAAGCATGATTGGGTTATCAATTGGGAGAGGGGAAATGGATTGATGTTGAGGGGAGACAGCTTTGGTCATACTCCTACCCTTGCAATGTGGTAGTGAAGAATGAATGGCCAACTCGTTTAATGAAGGTAAAGAGGAACATATCTGAGATGGGATAGAGGAGGAAGGGGAGTCATTGAATGTAAGTTTCCTGATGCATAAGGGAGATAATACATGAGCTTGGATGTTTGTGGCCTGGGAATAAGGTGGTGTGGATGGTGAGTTGGCTGATTGTGAGGGGTTTGTTGTGGGTGAGGTTGGAGGTGAGGGAGATGCTGACTCTGATGAGAGTAGTTAAGGAGTGAGAATGGATTAGAAATTATAGGGCATGATGATTGCTGAATCCCAGTAGCTTTGGGGTAGAGCTTTTTACCCTTTTTCTTTTGAATTGTGATCCATTCTGTGTTTGGTGGATTATGGGCTGAAGGGTTGCCTTCAATGATGGGGCTTGTGGTACCATTTGGTGGAACGTTAGAGGTTCTCATCTGTGCTTCATGGTTGATATGGTATAAAGGACAAGATGGTTCAGTGTGGTTGAGTTTTTTGCACAGGTTACAGATCTTTGGGAGCCATTGATATTCGATACCAATGTCAAAAATGAATCCATCCATCTTGAGCTGGGTTGAAGTGAGAAGAGGTTTTGAGAGATCAACATTGATACAGATTCTTGCATATCTGAGTTTTGATCTGGCTTCTGTTGCTTGGTCTGCGTAGAGAGGGATTCCCACAGTGCTAGCAATATGGCTTAGTCCTATTGCTGTCCAATACTTTTGAGGGATGCCATAGAACTTTACCCATGTGGGAGTGAGAGGATTATTTGCAGTGGTTGAGGGGATGTATTGATCCCATTTCATCAGTGAGAATGGGTGCCCTGCAATGGTTCAAGGACCCAAGGATAACACTTTTTCAGCTTCTTCATTGGATTGAAACCTGAAAAGATAGGAGCCTTCATCCCCCAAAATTGTTTCTGTGAGGCCATGAGACTTCCAGATTTTGGTAGCAGCACTACTAACCACTTTGAATGGTAACCTTTTGTGGGTAGAAATACCTATAAGGTGGTTAGACTTCCAGAATTTCTCTCCTTCTAGAGCAACTTCTGGTGGAGGATCAATAAGGGATGGGTTGTGAGATGATGATTCAATGAACTCAAATTTCATTTTTCCAAGGTGGTTTTGGACTATATCCGTCCATTTCTTTGTCTGTTGGGCAAGAACTAGTTGATGAGATGGGATAGTGGTATTGGCAATATGGTGGGTAAGACCGGAAAGTGCAATTGGGTTGGCTAAGGTAGGGGAGTTTGTTTGGTAGCTTAAAGTAGGTTGTAGAGGTTGGATGAGGGGAGGGTTGTTGGAAAAACGTGCTAGATTTCTACCTACTATAGGTAGCTTAGCTGTAGGTATAGGTGAATGGTTCAGATCACAGGTCAAAGTGACATTTGAATTTGAATTCAAATTTGAAATTGGGTCTAGATTGGAGTTGGTGAAAGGTGGTGGTGCCGGAAAATCAATAACGGTGGTGATGGGAGGAGAAGGGGTGGAGATAGCTATACCTGTGGTGATGGAAAGCAATAAGCCCTCATTTGGCAGCAATGGAATTGTGGATTGAGGTGATGCCAGAGGATCAGTAATGATAGGAGGAGAAGGATTGGTAGAACCTGTAGTGGTGGAAGTCAAACCTGCTTGTAGCTGAAATGGGTTGCAGGACTGTAGTGGTGCATCTTTGTACATGGCAAGCTCCTTTTGAAGCTGAGAGATGGTTTGATTCCTTTCTTTTATCATTTCCAGTGCCTTCCCCAAGTTATCATCAGTCCATTCCAGCTTTTCATTTAGCCTCTCGATTTGATGCTCAGGGGAAACATATAATCTTGGATTGAAATTTTTGGGCAACTTCTGGCTAGTGGATGGGGGGATGATGGGCAGCTGCTAGCTAGTGGAAGAGGATATTTTAGTTGTTTTCCAGTGATGCTGAGGTTTGAATGCAGGCTTGGATGAAGTTGATGCAACATGGTTGGAGACCTTTTTGGTGATTAATGGAGGCCTGATTGGCTTTAAGGCTGGAGGTGGGAAATGAGCTGGTGATTTACCTTTGAATGATGGGGGTATTGGAGGTTCGAAAACCTCAATCTGAAGTGGAGCAGGTTGAGATGAGGATGGCTTTGGACTAGTATTAGGTGTGCTTACTGTATTAAATGTGTGTGTACCTTTGGGAGATGATAAATGAGCATTAATGGTGGGATGATCAGATTGGATTATGTGGGATTTAGCTGTATTTGGTGCATTGTGGATGTGAGTTGGTGGGATAAAAGGTGGTTTGAGATGGTTTGGAATGGGATTGTTTATAGAGGGTTTCAGGGATGCATTCAGTGGAGAAGACAGAGAATGTTTGAATGGAGGATTCAGTGGAGGCTTGGATGAAGGATTCAGGGGAGGTTTCAGAGGAGGTTTTATGGTTTCCTGATTAAAATTTTGGTTCATATTGACAATATGTATCACTGAGACTAGCCGCCTTTTTAATTTTTCAATAGACTATCAATGCGCTTAGGCTATTTTATTGCTTTTTAAAAATATATATATTGTCTACCACCGAACTTTTTTAGTCATACATCTTTGTCAAAACTTTTAGGCTTTGTTTGGTACGGTGGGTTTGAAGGGGAAGGATAACATTAGTTATGAGGGAAAGGGAATGGAAGGAAAGGGAAGAATAATTTTAAACCTCCGTTGCGTTTGGTTGATTAATGAAGGAAAAGAAAGGGAAGGACAATAATTATGTTTGGGAAAAGAAAGGAAAAGAAATGGAAGGGAATTATTTTTAACATATGGACTATTATACCCCTTTATATTTATATTTATATATATATATATATATATATAGTTTCATGTACTTGCCAAAAAAAAATAATAATAATAAATAAATAAATAAATAAAAATTAGGGCAAATCATTTCAGCCTCCCTAATCCTCCATCTCTATTATATATATATATATATATATATATATATAAAGTCTTTAACTTGAGGCCATAAGAAAAGAAAAATAAAAATATAGGGCAAAGCCTCCCCAATCTCGCTCCATCTCTGCAACTCCTTCTCAACACTGAACTTGGCCTCTCTCTCTCTCTCTCTCTCTCTCTCTCTCTCTACAAGAATCAGAAATTCAAAACCCATATATTTCCAGTTTATCTATCTGTTTGCAAGAATCAAAAGTTCAAACCCGTATCGATGTATCATTTCAGATTGTTCAGAAAATCCAAAACCCATATCTTTCAGTTTCCATGGCTGCTGTTCCAGTTCGGGTCGCCGTTCCAAGCTTCAATCACCGGCGGTCTCTCTCTCTCTCTGCAATCTTGAGGGTAAAATTGGCATCTGAAATCACCCATCAAGCCTCTCCTTCCATTTCCCTTCATTTCCTCCCATTTTTGGGAGGTTAAGAAATCTACTGTTGAAGGCACAAGCTAACACTCCAAACCCTTCCCTTCACTTCCCTTTCCTTCCAACAATTTTTGCCAAACACACATTTTTAATCCCCCTCCATCACCTTCCCTTCCCTTTTCTCCCATTTCTACTCTACCAAACTGACCCTTAGAGCTCTTCCCACAATCCGAGAGATGACAAAAAAAATATATATTAATTGAAAGTTCTACCGACAATTAAAAGCATCAAAAAAAAAAAATATTTCTTCCTATTATAATACAAAAATTTTCTTCAGGTCCATGGTTGCATTCATTTCATTTTCCATGTTTAACCTCCACAAAAAAAGTGGAGCAGATAGCCAAAAAAAGAAAAACGCTATAAAAGCACAAAGAAAAAGACAGACGCTTTTGGCAAATAAAAAATGATATAGTAATTACATATTGAGCTATATCGAGCATATGTAGTATGTACTGATTTTTCATTTTATATTTTATTATATAAAATAACATTTGTGATTTTTATTGTGTTTTTTTTCTCTACCAATCAAATTTTGAGTTTTTGTATATACTTGCAAAAGCACTGCAAAATATTTGACATGTTCTCCTGATCCAAATGGTTGGGTTTTAGATATACTAATAAATTGGCTCACTAAATATGTAAACATAATACATTGTTAGACTAAGTAACATGGACAGTTGACACATGATACAAATGTGACATAAATATGTTTGATACGCGAAATTTTTAAAAAGTAGGATACGCGCATGGCTACATAAATATAAATTTTTATTTATATTCATATATTGAGTAATAAAATTATAAAATTTTAATTCATTTTTAATTTTTATATCAAAAGATATAATAATTTTTATATCACATATACAGTTATTTCACTACTTTGTCATAATAGTGTTTTTATCTTAATTGAACAAATATTATTTAATATTTAGTTTGTTAATTTCATTTAATTATTGAAATTTTATCAACCTGGCCTATGTCACAGTTAAAGAGATGTTGGACATTTTATCATTTTTCTTAATATTATTAATCTGCTATCACAATATTTGTAGTACTTACAATTAATGTTAATTAATTACGTGTTTATGAAGAAAAAAAAATCTTTAATTTAGTTAATTTAGAAAATCATTCTAAATATTTGGCATTTTTCTTTTGAAAAATTTAATTAAGAAACTTAAAAAAAAAATAAAATGGCAATTTGGACTTTACTGTCTACAGTCTACACTGTGTAAATTCAAATCAGCGCCAGAGTAAGATGAGTCACAGCCATTTGTGGTTTATTCATTCATCAATTTGATAAGTAATGGTCTGTTTAGCCAGCCGGTGTTGTCACCGGACTCATAAGGGTACCTTGTTTATATATAATAGAATATAATTAAAATATATATATACACTTCATCATATTTACCTTGTTAATATATACTTCTTCTATTCCAAAAAAGATATCATGCTTTTCTTGTTGGTCTGTCTCAAAATAGTTGTCCACTTTCTTTTTTCAAATAATATATTTTACATCTTTTCATATATGTTTTTGAAATTTAAAATTTCAAATTTGAATATAAAAACAAATTAGTAACTTTCCAACTAAAATAGTTGTCCATTTTTTTTTTTCAAATAATATACTTTACATTTTTTTATACATGTTTTGTAAGTTTAAAATTTTAAACTTGAATATAAGAATAAATTAGTAACTTTTTAAGGAAATAAGGCATGTCTCATATGTTCTCTTAAAAAAATTAATCATTCAAAAGTGATATCTAAATTGGGATAGATGGGTAATAAAATAAAATAAAATAAAAATTTATTGTTGGATAAAATATAAATTCAGTAAGTGACAGCCCAAATAGCCAAAACAATATACTATTAAAGATTTTCTCTCTCTCTCTCTCTCTCTCTCTTGTTTTCCTCCGACACGAACCACAATTAAAATGAGGAATAAGTTTGTTCAGAGATTCAGAAGTTGTCTTGTCGTTGTGTGTTGTTCATTATTTTGAGTTCATTTTCTCATGTTTTGTCGTGGTTTCTGTCTCTCTCAGAAGTTGTCTTCTTGTTGTGTGTTGTTCATTATTTTGAGTTCCTTTTCTCATGTTTTGTCGTGCTTTCTGTCTCTCTCATTTCCCTTCCTTCTTTTTCCCTCCAATTCCTGGCGTTTTTCTCGATGGCTTTAGCCTATAGCACAGAAAAAATGCCCACGTGATTAAAGCTTAGCAAGAAATAGAGTCTATGTCACATAATTTGACAGTGGGTAAGCATTGCTGTGAAAAGGGAAAGAGATGGGATTTTAGAGAGAGAATGTCAGATTTCTCGGTCTCTTTCTCTCTCTGCATTACATTTACTTACTCCATATATGTAACTATGGTTTGCTTATTTGGTTACTTCCTCTTTCCATTCAATTAACATTAATTTTAAGTTTGCTTACATATATTCA